GAGAATCGTCCGGCTTATAGAAAGTTGACCGGTTGTCATGGTTTTTCTTGCAGGCCTGTTCTTTTGATCAGTTACGTTGTGGTTCGTTCCAGGTGTGTTCAGAAGTGGATATTAGAGACCTTTAGCATCAGGTAAACCGCAAACCGCAGTCCGAAAACCGCAGTTACGCGTTTGCAGTTTCGCGTTGCCGAGATTTCAAACTTTAGCAAGGCGTTCAGTTCAGTTCAGTTCAGTTTAGTTAAGTTCATTTTTATTTAGCCAAAATACAATACAGTACAAGAATACATATAGGAATTGTAAGGTTGCAAGGGAGCCCAGAAGAAACCAGAAGACTTTATGAAGCCTGGGCTCCCCAGTCTAAAATAGATAAGCAAAATAAAATGATATTCGCGGAGTGATACGTTAAAAATAGGAACCAAACAGAGACTCAGTTAAGTTATGAATTCAGAAACAAGATAGAAAAAAAATTTAACTCTGGATTGGAACACTGAACACTTTCCTTTGTTAGTACGGCAGAAAGGAATATAAAATTGATTTGAACTACGCGTTCATTATTTAGGGCCGCCATGTTGTTTTCATCAAGTCGAAGAGCATCACTTTAATCGCCCAAAACTCAGCAATAATTCATTGATTCGAGATCAAAAATCCAACCAACACATCGCAAACGGATACAAAAAGCTAGTTCATACCTTTAAACGTGAGGCTGTACAGTTTTTTGTGGCAAAAAACCTTGCCGTAAATCACTTACCGCTGCAAGCCCTTCCTGCGGTTCAAACGTGAACTGCAAACTGCAAACGTGACCGCAAGGCCGTGGTCACGTGACATTTTGCGGTTTGCGGTTTGCCGTTTCCCACGAAAAACCTGATGCTAAAGGTCCCTATTGTTGGAGTGGTTGTTTTCTGTACTTCCCTTTCCGTTGTTTTTCCAACTCAAGGTATGCAAGCTATTATAGCGAATAATCCAAGGATGGTTCACCGGTTCCAACACGTATTTATTACAGTTACAACGAATTACGATTACGGTTGCTAAAAGCGAAACAAAAAATACAAATTACTAAGGAATACAAATGACAGCTATGAAACGACGAAAATACAGGAAACGGAAAGAAACTAAGCGAAAATACTTACAAACGTTGTGTGACTAGAAAGTTGAACGGAAAAAAGGTACGATGGCTAACAAGACTGGACGAAAAAACTGCAATGATGTTGCCGTGAACGCTAAAGCGAAATGAATAAGAATAAACGATGAAACTTACAAAATGATCTAAGAACAAAGAAAGTTATGCAGAGAAATCTAACAGAATATGAATAGCGATAACTGAAAAGAATGTGAAAGGAATGTGCAACTATACAAAGAACTAAACGCTAAACATATTGACGTGGAATGCGGCCGTAACACAAGCAATCACGGATACAAAGTGGTCCTTGGTCATCTCTTTAAGCGTATGTTATCATCATCAGCATCATCGTCGTCATTTTCGTTGTCGTTCTCGTCATCATCGCCATCGTCATTTTCATCATCACCGTCACCATGGTCGTCATCATCATCATTATCATTGTTTTTTTCAAAATAATGTTACATTTAATTTGACACTGTTAAAGAAATGCAAGTAAAATTGTCCAGGAAGTACCGTTAAAAACACGAGCATTATAAGACGTCAGGTTTAAAAGTCACACTGCAGAGAAAACAGTATACATACAGATATGCTCACTTGCATTGTAGCCGACCTGGTTACTAAAATTTCCTGAATCGAGTGACAACTTTTAGGTTTTCCACTTGGCCAAAAAGAAAAACCTAGAACAAACCAGGAGTAAATGTGATTGAACTACTCGACTATGAACACCACTTGAAGTATTTACCGGGTTTGTTTTCGTGTTTTGTTGTAGTGTACAGACCGTGTATATATCCAACGCTGAAATGAATTTAGCGGCAATAAAGTTCTGGGGAGGACTTAAGGTATTGACTCACAGTTCCTTCCTGTGGTGCTATTTTCAGCAAGATGCAGCAGAAAGAGTTTAATCGTTGAAGTTTGTTTTTATTTCTTTACTTCAATCAGGATTCTCGCTTTATATACTTCGCAGCATACAAGGTGCCTGTCTGAGTCTCTAGACAGCCAAAAATCTTTTTTTTTTTGCTGACTGTATGAATTACACTTTAAGTTTGATAATGTTCACAAGTCTTTAGTTTTTACTTTAGATCAGTTGCTCGAGATACAGTGCTGAGCTGTCTACAATGGCCCTGTCTTTGAGCCGCATTTTCTTCTTTATTCATTCAATCCTGTCCATTGCGATCACCTCTCCTTAGCAGCCATGTACTCGCTTTCTATATTTGTGCCATTCATTTAAGAAAGAGCACCTGCAATGTAAGGCTATACAAGACTGCTAATGGACTAGCGAAAAACCTCATGGTGCGAGTCGCGTGAAACATTAACGTGGCGTAGCCATGTTGGGAATCTTGCGATCGCTGCTACCCAGTGATTTTACCAATAAACTCCCTTTAAAAAACACTCACAGTTGCTTAGATTTAACACATATAATTTTCCTCTCACAATCACAACCTACTCGGTTTACATCCCAAAGTCAACTACTCTGGAATCTTAGAAAAATGATGTAAAGAAATCTATTTGCACGTGTACTGATAAAAATCTACTTTTGCTTCATTGGTTAATTGTTCCTTAAAACGACTGATTTGACAGATACGCTGCATAATTAGATGTTTGCTCTCGGCTTAAATTAACTTTAAAAGGTTTCTTATCTTTGAAGAATGACATCAAAAACTAATGCACCTATCAATGTTAAGCCGGCGGGCGTTGGAGGCAGGGCATGGGGTGGGGATTTGACTTTTTTGAAAAATTTGCCGTCAAATTCCCTGCCCACGGGCAAATCATTCCAGTCAAATGCAACCAAATTTCCCCACCCCGGGCTGCACATTGCTGTCAAATATCCCAAGGCTGGACCCAGCAAAGGCACAATTGAAATATCTCGAAATAAAACTCTACAATCTTTATTTATGAACGTTGCTGCATCACCAAAGACACATGTTCCTATCACAGCAGCAATTATACCTTTAAACCATTCAATCCATGTTACACTACGTAGAATAGAAAAACCCTTAGGAGAAAGTCCACATTTTGTAAGTTTAAACATACCGTTCTTAGTAAAGGGCACAAAGAAAGTTAGTTTTACAGCTTGCCATTCGGGCTAGTTTGGACTAGCCCAAGAGTCACTTTAACTAGCCTAGTCTGATCGATTAATTCATTGCAATATCAATAAGTCTAATAATTTAACTTCGTCAGATCAGCTTCAAAAACAGTTTTCGATCCAGATGAATTTATATGGAATTCAAACATTTGTCTTTTGGTACTTCTGTAATTTGAATTGCCCCAGAAAACTTCACTTGCCCATCGGCCATGTTAAGAACAGAATTTACTAGTCCAGTTGCAAATCCACCAGCCCGGGCTATCGAACATGACTTTCTTTGCACGCTGTAGTTGGAACAATTCAACCATGCAAGGTTTTAAAATCGGGAATGTCAAATGCTCTGGAATTGCCATTGACCTTAGGTTTACCTATGTTCAGGTTTCTGGTATCTTTTATTCAAGTGAGACAATTTTAGCCTCATACAGCATTGTACTAGTCATTTCAAAACTTAAGTTTTTATAACCTAATGCTGAGCTCAATCTCAATCAGCAGAATATCAACTAATGTTCCTGTCCCATCGATAAGATAGGAAGCTGGGTTCTTTTGTAAATAGCCACATGTTTTAACTTTTACCAAGTTTGAACTCCGCCTGATGATATTATATGGCAGGCAAGAAGGCCTCACATATGCAAAAAAGTATAATATCCTAAGACAGTTTGCCCTCTGAACAGTCACGAAGGTATCTGCCTGTTGGCAGTGAACAACTAATCTCTTTCAATAATACTATCAGCAAAAATGAACATTAATGTAAAAACTATACTGGCCTGTTCCAGTCGTTCAGATAGCTTGGAAGGCGCAAGGAGAACAGAGCAGGAAAAACGGTGATGGGTACGTCGTCCATTCCCCGAATCGGAACGCCTGGAACAGGTTAAGTCTGCACTGTAAGATTTACCAGACCTCACTACATCTTAAACAAAGCCAGCTCCTTTTATCTACGCTAACATCTTTCTCAAGATCAAGACAGGACATGTGCTACCATCGAAGTCAACCATCGCATGAAATCCAAGAAGCCGTGTCCAACTCACGGTCTGGGAGATCGGTTCTGCCACACTCCTGGCAAAGTTCCTTAGGGTCATGTTTGTCAAAAACAGCCGAAACAGTTGTTTTACCTGTTGAACCACTGTTGCAAGAGCTTACTGTCTTTGTGCATCATTTCTCTCTCCGTGTTTCAGCAGCCTTCTTTGCTCCAGCTCTCCGATTTTCTGCTATTTGGTGCAGATGTTCAAACCACATAAAAACTTCCTCTTTTGGCAAAAGCGTTTTCTGTGCAGTTTCCATCACAACGGGCTGTGGTGGAATGGCTCTATACTTGTTGTAGGTTTCAAGTAAAACAACAGAAGGTGGAGCCACATAATCGCACTTTCCTTGTTTCAAAAACCGTGCTAACACTTTATCATATTTCATGTAATGTCCATAGCAATAATGAGTTCCACAGTCGCTACAGTTGCCACCATTAAATGGGCGCGCAGGATCTGGAACAGGTAAGGGGACAAAAGTAATACTGGGGCCACCAGGATACCATGTCTCATTCTTCAGTTTTCCCTCCTTGCAAACAGGATGGATGCAGTCGTCCTCAAGACAACACTGAAGCATAAAAACATATTTACTTGTGACATCTTCTCTGATATGCTTCCCACGGAGTTGCCACGTCTCCTTTACTAGAGAATACAACTCTGTTTTTTCTGTTTCTATTTTGGACTTGGCAACCTTACTTCCTTTCAGAAACACTTTGAGTACCTCATTTTCCTCCTGGTACTTCGCGCTATCTACCCCTTTGTAAAGATGGATTTCAGTAGAAGCTCAAGGGGCGCCACCTACCCTAGAAATGTGAACATCTATAGCAGATTCAAGGTTCTTACGCAGCATGTTCTGATCTACAGGAAATGTTAAGCATGACCCATTTAGTGTAGATGGTATGAAGAGGTTTGTGTGCCCTAGAGCAAGGCATCCATTCTGAAGTTCGAAGCTTGCACCACTGTTACGTGATGATACGAGAGTTACAACAGTTTCCACCTCCAAATGCCTTCGAGTCCACCAATACTGCACCTCTTTATGTGGCGGTCCTTCATGAAATGCACCGTCAACACGAATACATTCTATTTTCTTTTTCTCTTGAGTAATCGGATTAATGAATGCAGGTCGAACGGAATCCTTTTTCTCTACTTCTTTCAGATCAGCAAAATGCTGCGCCGCGTTTTTCCAGTGAAGCGGGGTTGCTTTAACCATACCACAGCATATTTCACCAGTACTATCAGTCCCAGAAAAATTGTAGGATGTTGTTTGCAAGGTTGATGGATACTTGTTAACATAGTCCGTGTAGGTTGTAAGAGGCTCACTTCCCTTGATGGAAAGAGTGGAGTGAAGCTTGTGTGTGGTCATTGTATCAAGCCGGAAACCGGCCTGGTCATCTCTTCCTAGATTGACAATATTGTGGCCATCTTTATACTGAAGATGATTGAGTGACGCATAAAAGGCCGAACTCCAGTGTACATCCAGATTGTATTTAAGGTTGAATTCCTTGCGTGCTCTTCTCTGGATAACATTTGCCACACCTTTATACCAAACAGCGGAACGCCTTCTCCTATTTCGTGCTACACATAACTGGACTACGGAACCATATGAAATGGATCGGTTGTACTTCTGTTCCAGGTGCTCCTTTATTTTCTTGAATGTAGCTTTCTGTTTGATCTTTCTGTTGCCATCAAACGTTAAGGCACCAGTACGCCGCCAGGCATCAGCACCTGCTCCGCATGCTTTTACAAAATCCTCTATGGCTTGACCAATGCCTGGAGAGTCTCGCAGCACTTGTGAAACTCGCTTTACTTCACGAATCCCTTTCCTCCGCACAGCAGATCGCTTCTTGTTCAAGATAGCTCTCCCTCTTTCCCCCAGCAAGTCTTCAACCTGCAACATTTCACCTTCACTTACATTAGACTCGGACACAATTTCTTCGCCAGTGTCTTCGCCTCTTATGCTTTGCAGCCTTTGACTCAAAAGGTAAGCCTGGCGTGACTGCTCTATAACACGTTCCTCTTCAACACTAAGACCAAGGAAAGCGATTTGACCTCCAAAGTCTAACAAAAGCTGATGTAAAGCTTCATCTGAAATGTTACTGAGTAATCTTTGGGGAATCATAACAAATTCAAACCAGTTCAGTGCGCACTTTCTAAGGATGTCCAAGAGCTGATGTGAATTCATGTACACACCTTCTGTTTCTGTAACATGTTTGTATGTTTCATCACTGTTCATGTAATCTCGGAGCTGAAACTGATGAGGTATCACACCTTCCTCTGTTGGGGGAAGCTCAGAACTTCCTTCTTTTGAGTCATCCTCGTCCCTGTTGCTAGACTGGTTTCCATTCTTTACGCCATCTACCATACCAGAAGTATCGTCAGAATCAACATCAGTCTCACTCGCAGATTCACTTTCTTCACTTGCACTGTCATCAACACCAGATGCCTGTAGCAGTGCTTTATCCTTCAAGCGGACAACCTTGAGCATGCATTCCTTGATATCTTGTGCTTCCTCAGCTGCATCCAATACCTTCTTTGTTCTCGTCGTCATGTCATGGAAACCATAGACACTGCGTGCCTTTTCGGTGGACATTCCAGCCCCCCCGTACTACAGCGAACCGTAACCGTTCCCTTTCTGCCTCACTGTCAGCAAGATTGAGAAGTTTCATCTGTTCTTTGGACATGCATCCCTTCTGAGATTCTACCAATGTACTCTGTAGGGACTGAAAAATCTTGTAATTAACAAACTGCTGCTTCCGGACAAGAAAAAGCCTTCGGGTTCCTTGTTTTTGATTGCCTACAGCAATGGCTGCCAGCGGCATTTGCAAAATCTTTTGACGTGCATGTACAGATGAATAAACTCTCCCAGGACTTGACAACATAAAAGCCTCCTTTAGGCTCATCCACCCCTCCTGTTCAATACATCTAGCAACTTTTACCAACCCTTCACAGGAACACAGTGATCCAGCTGGTTGATGCTTTTCTGCACAAACAACACTAGCAACTTTAATGTAATCTGTCAGTTCCATCCCTTTAAAATTGGACACATAAACGTCAGTTCCATAAGCCTGGTGCTCACTCAACTTTTTCTTTTGTTGTTCATTAAACACATCAACTAGGCGACGAAATCCCCCTCCAGGCTCTTCACAGCTGAAGGGGCCACTTAAAAATCCGAATCCTCAACTGAATCAATGAGTATTAATGTATCAGTCGGTGACAATGGAGCATTTGTGACTGTAGAAAGTTCAGCTGTGGTTTGTGAGGAGGTACACGTATCTGAAGTAACTTGAGTTGTAGGTATTGTAGCTTGGGATGATGCACTTGTTGCAGATTCTAGAGGAATCTTAGCAGTACTTGTGGTTTCATTACTCGAAGCAACTACTTTAGCAGCAGAGG